GGTCGTAACCCGAAAAGTTCGTTAACAGAGGCGTTCGTAACCCGAGGTACCACTGTATTTAGCAACTGTAAGACAGAACAAAAATCATAAAAAGAAAATATTTTTTAAATATCAGTCAAATCAGTCTTCATATACTGTATATAGTATTGTACTGACAATAAAAAATGGAATCCTTAAATACATTTTATAAAATCATAGCATAGTATACTAGCTAGATATAACTTGAAGCAAAATGTCAATACTTGGAATTAAGGGAAAAATCATATAAGATTATAGGTTGTATCCAAGTGCACCCATTATTGGCAGAGCAGATACAATAGGCAAAGCCAATTCTGTAAATCCTCCCCGCCATGGTAAGAGAGATTGGCTCCAGAGAATTGGATCACTAGAGGGCTTGAGGAAGAAGTTGGACATTGCAAAATCACCAGAACCTTCAAACATTATTGTTCAACCTGTTGCATTTCTCTGAACATGTGATTTGTGATTTGTAATTTGGGGAGTGTATCCGAACCTGCATTTTTTTTGGTATGCCTAGGAGACAATCACTGCCAAAATCTTTTTTGAAAACAACAACAAATGTTATTCTTTCTTACAGAAACCAAACCTGGCCCTAGCATGTTCTTGTTATCGCCTTCAGGCTAGCACTTATATGGCTTTAATGGATGTATATCTCTCACCACTAGCTAGCTTACCTGGTTCAGCTGGAAGGCTGCCACAGATTTTTCACTCCTGATCATAAAAAAGGCCTCCAGAGTACATGCCAGAACACTGCACATACCTGCAGGTTGTTGGGGTGTAGGCAACAGTATATTGGCTTGCAAAGTAGCCTCTAAATTAGAGGTCCTAGTTTGCATAGAATAGCATGCTTGGGGTAGAACTAGGCTTGAGTTGCACTTGTTGCGTTCTAGCAACAATGCGCCCAAACTGATCATACAGTCCTTAGCCGGGAATGCTGCATGCCACACAGGTGTGACTAAGGCTGGTAATCTAATCCATACCTTCTCTATCTTACTAAAAAGTGTTGTATGAAAGCCTGGATTGACCAAAGCTATGATGGGCAACAGAAGTCAGCATATATAGCCCATGTGATTTTAACCAAGGCATATAGAAGATTGTGATTTGGTATGTAAAAGAAGTAAATGGTAAAGAATATAAATTAATGAAAGAACAATAAGTATGTTGTGTGTCTGCGAAACTAAGAGGAAAGGGTAAGGATGTAATAGATTTGAGTGAAGGGGCTCAAACTGTGCCATTGATAGATACGTGCAGGGCAGTGAACAGACATTATTGAATTATGAATGAAAGATCTAAGATCTCAGTGAATTTGTGTCATCTAGGTTCTTGTGGGGATGGGTATAAAAGCAGGAATCTATAAAGTGGTGATAGGATATTACTTTCCAGTGAATGGTGATAATGAGAGAACCAGATATGAGTTTTGAGGGAAATTGTGCGGTATTCTGAATAAATGCATTTCGGGAGAAAAATTGTTCTGCTAGTTGACATGAATGGATGGGTGAAGATGAGACAAAAAAGTACAGAAAAAATTAGCCATTTGGAGACCCAAGAATGAAAGAAAATGTACATATATTGATTTTGCCAAGGTATATGATGAAATGAGTGGAGTTTGTGGTTGTTTGCTACATATAAGAGCAGTACATAGTGGAAGTAAAGTATATGTAAATGATTAAATGAAATGCCTAATGAATGGTTCAACATTGGGCAGGGAGTAAGACAAGGATGTGTGATGTTCCCATGCTTGCTGAATATATTAATAGATAAATGTATCAGAGACACTTATAGTGACAGTAGATATGCATTGATTGGGTCCATAAGTGTCTTTGTGTGCAGACAATGCCAGGTTGTTGATAGAAAACCTGAATGATTTGCAATACGTATTAGATGTATTGTATGGTACAATGAAGAGCATGGATCTCAGAATTAATTAATTCAAGATCGTTAGGTTTGACAGGGAAAATGGACTCATTGATTACCAGTTGTATATAAATGATAAAAAAAATCATAGTAGTGAATTAAATTGTATACCTTGGTAGAATGTTTACTAAAGATGGGAAACAGACATTTTCAGATGCACAAATGCTGATAGAATATCAGTGAGTATTGTATGGTGTGTTGTGAGGACTTCATGTTTATTGAAAGAAGCAAAAATAGTTACATGTAAGAATGTTTCTGCCGGTATTGTTATATGGAAGCACAAGTTCAATATTACTAGGAAAAACTAAACTAAGTTGAATTCTGTAGGATTGGGGTCCTTTAGAAGTGTGTGTGGTAAAGCAAGAAGAGATATGGTCAAGGATGTATGAGTGCTGAAGGAATGTGGATTGACTACAAAAGTGAGTGACCTCTGTACTAAAGAAGTATGCTGAGTTGGTTACATACATAGAATGAATGAAGACTGAGTCACAAAACAAATGTATGAAGGAAGAATGGATGGACTGAGAGGAGGAAAAGATGAGAAGGCTGGGGTTGGATGAAATTGATCAGAACCTCAGAAAGAGAAGTGTAAAGAATAAAAAGTGGTGGAACTGAGAATGCTTTGCAAGGGCAGAATGTTATGGAGAGCTATAGTAAATGGTATGGATACAATCTAGCTTTAGCTGAATTTCTTTTTCATATTATATGCCTTTAGTTTCTTTGGCTTAGCATTTCTTCCCTTTTCTGCAGTTTATCAAAAGGAATAGCGTGGTGGGGGTGTATGTTTGTATAAAAAAAACAGGCATTCAAAATTACGGGCCAATTTCCCCCAAATGCCAGTGGTGGTGTAATAAAAATCAGTTGCTGTTAATTAATTTGTTTCAGATTCTGAAAATGGATTCAATGCATATTTGTTTGTTTGTTTTTATTTTAGATTTGCTTCTCTGGTATAACAATTGTTCTGCAATGGGATTTAAATTAGGAGCATCATTCTTACTGATACAAACTTTACCGAAATTTCGACTTTGAGGTAATGAGTGAAATTTCCATATGTTTATCCTGTTAATAATTTTATTTAATTTCAGTAAAGGAGCTTTGCATAGTGTCGACAGGTTCCCTGCCTTTTTAACCAAAATCCAGGATTCCTTTCTTTGCTTTTCTAACCGACAGGGGCAAGCTGCAGAAAGGAGAAAGTGACAAGCCCCCAGGCAAATTGCCCACCCACTGCCGAAGAAGAAAGGCGGGTAAGAAACTTAGTTGCGTAACCATCGGCAAAGCGAAGCGGGCGGCGAGCTCGAGAGCCGCCCCGGCGATTCCCCCCGCAGGGTCCTCGCAGAAGCGGAGGCGGCGAGGGGACCTACGCGAAAGGGCAGGTCGGTGCCGGGCAGGCACCACCGCCCGGCGACGTAGCAGCGGGGCGGGCCCGGAGAGGCAT